ATAAAAGCATTAAAAGCCAAGTTAGATTTTGGGGGTTAAGTCGCTTAATTAATGAGTCATCAAGTCATCAAGGTAACTTGATAATGGTCCACGACGGACCGAAACGTCGTCATTTCTCCATCTTGTGACGTGTGAGACGTGTGAGACGTGACGTCTTAAGGCCCCCGTCACTCCGACTCATCGTCTGCTTCAAGTTGTGGGTGCAACTGAGCCCCACTTCAGCACTTCAGGAAGTGCTGAAGTGGGGCTCGGGCGTGGGAACTGTCTTGATGTTCGCCTTTATGTCTTACTAGTCATTGTCGGTAAACGTTTCTAGTATTCTTTCCTACCTGTTCTTATCTACCTGTTCCTTCCTACCTGTTCTTATCTACCTGTTCTTATCTACCTGTTCTTTCCTACCTGTTCTTATCTACCTGTTTTTTCCTACCTGTTCTTATCTACCTGTTCTTATCTACCTGTTCTTATCTACCTGTTCTTTCCTACCTGTTCTTATCTACCTGTTCTTTCCTACCTGTTCTTATCTACCTGTTCTTATCTACCTGCTCTTATCTACCTGTTCTTTCCTACCTGTTCTTATCTACCTGTTCTTATCTACCTGTTCTTATCTACCTGTTCTTTCCTACCTGTTCTTATCTACCTGTTCTTTCCTACCTGTTCTTATCTACCTGTTCTTTCCTACCTGTTCTTTCCTACCTGTTCTTTCCTACCTGTTCTTATCTACCTGTTCTTATCTACCTGTTCTTATCTCGCTGTTCCTTAAAACTGTTTTTACCAGGGCAAGCTGTAAGCATGTTAGAGAGATGGCTACTAGTATTCAGTTTTAGTAAGTGTAAGCTGATGAGTGAAGGATGGGGAGGGGTGGAAGCGAGGAGACTGCAGTGTCAGTATACTATTTGGGGGAAGGCAACTTCCGGAATCGAACTTATTATTTGAGACGGGAAATAAGATGGGACATGTTCACAACATGTAAGATTCGGAGGAGCTCACACACACGGAGTACGTCAGGACCAAATGTTTAAGGAAGTGCTTCAGTGGACCGTTGGGCACAGTTGGACGACAGTAGCAGAGTAGCCGTCGTGATGGATGTGAGGATACCTGTATCCTCACATACAAGATACAGCCATTCACATACAGGATACAGCCATTCACACACAGGATACAGCCATTCACATACAGGATACAGCCATTCACATACAGGATACAGCCATTCACATACAGGATACAGCCATTCACATACAGGATACAGCCATTCACTTACAGGATACAGGTATTCACATGCAGGATACAGCCATTCACATACAGGATACAGCCATTCACATACAAGATACAGCCATTCACATACAGGATACAGGCATTCACATACAGGATACAGGCATTCACATACAGGATACAGCCATTCACATACAGGATACAGGTATTCACATACAGGATACAGCCATTCACATACAGGATACAGCCATTCACATACAGGATACAGCCATTCACATACAAGATACAGCCATTCACATACAGGATACAGCCATTCACTTACAGGATACAGCCATTCACATACAGGATACAGCCATTCACATACAGGATACAGGTATTCACATACAGGATACAGCCATTCACATACAGGATACAGCCATTCACATACAGGATACAGCCATTCACATACAAGATACAGCCATTCACATACAGGATACAGGCATTCACATACAGGATACAGGCATTCACATACAGGATACAGGTATTCACATACAGGATACAGCCATTCACATACAAGATACAGCCATTCGCATACAAGATACAGACGCTGAGCCATTACTTAAAACGAAACGATGGTTGGAAAGATTTGGCCCAAGAGCTGAAGCTTGATCCTATAGGCACAAGTAGGTAAGTTCACTCACACGGTCGTTTGAGGCAAAATAATGTTATATGCTCTCTAATGATATGTTTAAAGCTGATGTTTTTGGAGGAGCAGAAACGTGCTACTGGTGAACACTAAAGGTTAGGGTTTTCGGCTTAAGTTTCACTTCCTTAAACCTAATTAGGGGGTTCAAATTAGGGGTTTTCCGGGTTAAGCTTCACGCGCTGGTGCCCTAATTACTCCTCTATAATCAGCTTCGAGTATTGTGTGGACATGTTTGTGACAAATGTGAAGGATCAACAGGAACGTTGGGTTCGTAATACGGAGCTATAGGTCGCACGCACACGCTAGCTCGCTTGCTGGCTCACTCACTCACTCACTCACTCACTCACTCACTCACTCACTCACTCACTCACTCACTCACTCACTCACTCACTCACTCACTCACTCACTCACACACACACACTGCACTCACTCACACACTCACACACACTGGCTGTGGGTCTGGCTGGCTGTGTGGACAGCGCTCTAGACTCGTGGACCTCACTAGGATGCCTCACTGATACACCCACTCACTATGATGGGATATGAGGACGGGTGAAGGAACGGTGATATCGGGGGATCGAACACCGGCCTTGCATGAGGCAAGGCCGGTGTCCACTGGCGGCCAATTCAGGAACTAATGCAAACTTGGTTACGCTGCTTTAACTTCCAGACGATATCGTATCCAAATATCAATCCTGTTTACTCTCCGGACGATATCTTATCCGACTACTAGTCCGGTTTACTCTCCGGACGATATCTTATCCGACTATCAGTCCGGTTTACTCTCCGGACGATATCTTATCCGACTATCAGTCCGGTTTACTCTCCAATTATCGCTACAAATGGAAAAAGTTTACCCTCGAGCAAGTATTCTGAGTCAGGCCTGATTTTGCTTTGTCCCGTTTTCTTTGAGGACAATATATTGAGAACTGTCCAATTGCGTCGCTTCAGGTTTGGGAAGGAAGGTGCTTCAGGTTTGGGATGGAAGGAGTTTCAGGTTTGGGATGGAAGGAGCTTCAGGTTTGGGAAGGAAGGAAGGTGCTTCAGGTTTGGGAAGGAAGGAAGGAAGGAAGGTGCTTCAGGTTTGGGAAGGAAGGTGCTTCAGGTTTGGGAAGGAAGGTGCTTCAGGTTTGGGAAGGAAGTTGCTTCAGGTCTGGGAAGGAAGGAGCTTCAGGTTTGGGAAGGAAGGTGCTTCAGGTTTGGGAAGGAAGGTGCTTCAGGTTTGGGAAGGAAGGAAGGTGCTTCAGGTTTGGGAAGGAAGGAAGGTGCTTCAGGTTTGGGAAGGAAGGTGCTTCAGGTTTGGGAAGGAAGGTGCTTCAGGTTTGGGAAGGAAGTTGCTTCAGGTCTGGGAAGGAAGGAGCTTCAGGTTTGGGAAGGAAGGTGCTTCAGGTTTGGGAAGGAAGGTGCTTCAGGTTTGGGAAGGAAAGAGCTTCAGGTTTGGGAAGGAAGGTGCTTCAGGTTTGGGAGGGAAGGAGCTTCAGGTTTGGGAGGGAAGGAGCTTCAGGTTTGGGAAGGAAGGTGCTTCAGGTTTGGGATGGAAGGAGCTTCAGGTTTGGGATGGAAGGAGCTTCAGGTTTGGGAAGGAAGGTGCTTCAGGTTTGGGAAGGAAGGTGCTTCAGGTTTGGGAAGGAAGGAGCTTCAGGTTTGGGAAGGAAGGAGCTTCAGGTTTGGGAAGGAAGGAAGGTGCTTCAGGTTTGGGATGGAAGGAGCTTCAGGTTTGGGAAGGAAGGAAGGTGCTTCAGGTTTAGGAAGGAAGGTGCTTCAGGTTTGGGAAGGAAGTTGCTTCAGGTTTGGGAAGGAAGGAGCTTCAGGTTTGGGAAGGAAGGTGCTTCAGGTTTGGGAAGGAAGGAAGGTGCTTCAGGTTTGGGAAGGAAGGTGCTTCAGGTTTGGGAAGGAAGTTGCTTCAGGTTTGGGAAGGAAGGTGCTTCAGGTTTGGGATGGAAGGAGCTTCAGGTTTGGGATGGAAGGAGTTTCAGGTTTGGGAAGGAAGGTGCTTCAGGTTTGGGAAGGAAGGTGCTTCAGGTTTGGGAAGGAAGGAGCTTCAGGTTTGGGAAGGAAGGAAGGTGCTTCAGGTTTGGGAAGGAAGGAAGGTGCTTCAGGTTTGGGAAGGAAGGTGCTTCAGGTTTGGGAAGGAAGGAGCTTCAGGTTTGGGAAGGAAGGTGCTTCAGGTTTGGGAAGGAATGTGCTTCAGGTTTGGGAGAGAAGGAGCTTCAGGTTTGGGAAGGAAGGTGCTTCAGGTTTGGGATGGAAGGAGCTTCAGGTTTGGGATGGAAGGAGTTTCAGGTTTGGGATGGAAGGAGCTTCAGGTTTGGGAAGGAAGGAAGGTGCTTCAGGTTTGGGAAGGAAGGAAGGTGCTTCAGGTTTGGGAAGGAAGGTGCTTCAGGTTTGGGAAGGAAGGTGCTTCAGGTTTGGGAAGGAAGGTGCTTCAGGTTTGGGAAGGAAGGTGCTTCAGGTTTGGGAAGGAAGGAGCTTCAGGTTTGGGAAGGAAGGTGCTTCAGGTTTGGGAAGGAAGGAGCTTCAGGTTTGGGAAGGAAGGAATCTTCAGGTTTGGGAAGGAAGGTGCTTCAGGTTTGGGAAGGAAGGAAGGAGCTTCAGGTTTGGGAGGGAAGGTGCTTCAGGTTTGGGAAGGAAGGAATCTTCAGGTTTGGAAAGGAAGGAGCTTCAGGTTTATGAAGGAAGGTGCTTCAGGTTTGGGAAGGAAGGTGCTTCAGGTTTGGGAAGGAAGGTGCTTCAGGTTTGGGAAGGAAGGAGCTTCAGGTTTGGGAAGGAAGGAGTTTCAGGTTTGGGAAGGAAGGAATCTTCAGGCTTGGGATGGAAGGTGCTTCAGGTTTGGGAAGGAAGGAAGGAGCTTCAGGTTTGGGAAGGAAGAAATCTTCAGGTTTGGGAAGGAAGGAATCTTCAGGTTTGGGAAGGAAGGAATCTTCAGGTTTGGGACGGAAGGAGCTTCAGGTTTGGGAAGGAAGGAGTTTCAGGTTTGGGAAGGAAGGAGTTTCAGGTTTGGGAAGGACGGTGCTTCAGGTTTGGGAGAGAAGGAGCTTCAGGTTTGGGAAGGAAGGAGCTTCAGGTTTGGGACGGAAGGAGCTTCAGGTTTGGGAAGGAAGGAGCTTCAGGTTTGGGAAGGAAGGTGCTTCAGGTTTGGGAGAGAAGGTGCTTCAGGTTTGGGAAGGAAGGAATCTTCAGGCTTGGGAAGGAAGGAATCTTCAGGCTTGGGAAGGAAGAAATCTTCAGGTTTGGGAAGGAAGGAATCTTCAGGTTTGGGAAGGAAGGAATCTTCAGGTTTGGGAAGGAAGAAATATTCAGGTTTGGGAAGGAAGGAAGGTGCTTCAGGTTTGGGAAGGAAGAAATCTTCAGGCTTGGGAAGGAAGGAATCTTCAGGCTTGGGAAGGAAGAAATCTTCAGGTTTGGGAAGGAAGGAATCTTCAGGTTTGGGAAGGAAGGAATCTTCAGGTTTGGGAAGGAAGAAATATTCAGGTTTGGGAAGGAAGGAAGGAGCTTCAGGTTTGGGAAGGAAGAAATCTTCAAGTTTGGGAAGGAAGGAATCTTCAGGTTTGGGAAGGAAGGAATCTTCAGGTTTGGGAAGGAAGGAATCTTCAGGATTGGGAAGGAAGAAATCTTCAGGTTTGGGAAGGAAGGAAGGAGCTTCAGGTTTGGGAAGGAAGGAATCTTCAGGCTTGGGAAGGAAGGAATCTTCAGGCTTGGGAAGGAAGAAATCTTCAGGTTTGGGAAGGAAGGAATCTTCAGGTTTGGGAAGGAAGAAATCTTCAGGTTTGGGAAGGAATAAATCTTCAGGTTTGGGAAGGAAGGAAGGAGCTTCAGGTTTGGGAAGGAAGAAATCTTCAGGTTTGGGAAGGAAGGAATCTTCAGGTTTGGGAAGGAAGGAATCTTCAGGTTTGGGACGGAAGAAGCTTCATGTTTGGGAAGGAAGGAGTTTCAGGTTTGGGAAGGAAGGAGTTTCAGGTTTGGGAAGGACGGTGCTTCAGGTTTAGGAGGGAAGGAGC